AGTTGGATTGCACGTTAACGGCTCACAAAGATGGACACCGGATTGGAGCTCCAACAGAGACACGCCATTAGCACTGGTATGATTTCAATTACCAAATCTGCCATTTCATTTGTTCAATTTCGAGAGTATATATAACGCATCTGTGCACCGGTATGAAGGGCGGTAGCCCTAGACTGGTAGAGTATATCTAGGCCAAATCTGGCCAAAGTGAGAATTGAATTAGATGTATTGAAATATGAAATTGGTAGAGTATGTGTGGAATTTGTGGATGGTTGAGGCAATTTGAAAGGTTTTTGGCAGCAAATCGTGAGGGAGAAGGTGTCGGCATACTGTGTCTGTGTTGCATTAGGTTTGGGCATTTGGTGGGGAGTTGCTATCAATTGAAGAGAGGAACGAAGAGGAAACTCTAAACTTGACGCTTAACTAACATTGAAAAGATTTCAAAAGTTAAGTGTCTAAATTGTTCAAATTAAAAGTAGAGGATTAATTGTGAAAAATTAACATAGTTGGGGATCATTGATGGAATTAACTGTATTAATATATATCAAACTCATTAATGGAGTCATGATCGTACTATCACTTCTCAAGGTAATTATTAGTGGTGGATGGAATTGGGAGATTTCCAAAAACACAAACCTTGGAGTTTGCGAACTGACTGATGAATGATTTTGTTTGTATGGAATTTAGCAGGCATGTTTAACGTCTTTTAAGGCTCCATGTTCAATTATGCACCATGCAACTTACATTATGAGTGAGATATTAGAGGGAAGAATGTAAAAGAGATTAGGAAAGAGAATGTGGGAGGGAAGAGAAAAAAAAAATCAAAATTGAGTTTTTAAAATAAGAAAATTCTAAAAAATAAAAAATAAAAAATAATGCACGCGCACAACATGTCTTATTTCTTTTATTTATTTTTCTTGGTTTTTTCATTCTCCCCACCCCTTGCAGATGAATTCTTTTTGCATTATCTCCTCCCTACATCAACTATGCTCCTTTAATGGGAAGAATTCATTCTGAAAAAGCTCTAAAAAAGACACTATAGTGTTTCATTCTTTACTCTCAACTTTTATTTCATACTTAAAATTTTAATGTAGACATATTTACAAGGGTTTACATGAATAAAATAACCTACCCGTCATGAAGTAAATTTGAGGGAGTAAGATTTGGAAGTACATGTAATAGAACTTATATATTAATTTCTTCTTTTCTCATCACACATATTTACCTTCTATTTTTCTTTTTTTCTTTTCTGGATTAATAAAAAAATTTACAATAAAATTCATAAAATCAACCATAAATTCACTTGATCAATTCTATCGCTATACTTTGAAATAAGATGCCATTTTCTAATTTTTACAATAGTCTAAAGGAGCGATTTACTTTTGTACATACTTTATTAGCTTTGCTCGATCTTTTTCACTGATACATTATATTTATAAGTAATTAAGGTGTTAGAATCTTATTAAGATTTTTTTACTAGCATCAACAATGACTCATATTAATGTGCTCAAGTGATGATTTTAGACCATTCCAAAATTTTAGAAGTTGGATTAAATTTATAAATAACTACTGAATATAAAGGATTGTAATGCGTTCTTATCAAAAGTTACAGCGCAACATGGATATGATATAATTGTGGTATAAATAACATTTTTTGAGTGACGAGGAAAACTGTAGACTGTAGTCACTATCTGAGAGTGTGTATTAAGAAATTCTCGTCTATGTATTTCCTGTGTAATAGCTCGCAAAACAACAAGAGAGATAAACCGTACTAGGATGACCATGTGCGGCATGCTTTTGACGAGGTGGATGAAGTTATTATTATTATTATTATTATTATTATTGCCTTATTTTTGAGGCATTCTTAATTGTACCTATAATAATAAAAATATAATAAAGTAATTGGAAACACTTGTATATTTATAAATTTTTATTTTAAAATAAATTTAAATTGAGTGAATTTCATAAATGATAAAAGGGATCGGAAGAGTATAAAATGATAATAGTGGGTTAATTTGTAGTGTTTGTCGTACTTGTTTAACGTAAATCTCCGTCGTCAAAAACAGCCTGAATCTAATGATTACTTCGTGCCCAAATTATTGGAATTATAATTATTATCAAAATCATTACCCAAGAATCTTTATTCCTCCCATCCCCCCAAAGTTGAATGGAATAGTACATTAAACTACACGTTTTTACATGAGGCCTTTGGGGACCTTAAAACCTACGTACATCTAATAAAATAATCCTTGTATTATTGACTTTTAAATACAAGGAAGAAGATATTAATCATTATATTATTTGAAGTAATTAGCATAACATTATGAGCCCAAATTATTTTTAAAAGTGCATTGGTATTATACAGCATGATGAGATTAATCCAATTGAGTTTCCGACAAACCTTGTTTAGAAATATAAATTGAAACATGTGTTCCATTCCAACTAAAAGTTTAAGCTGATGATTGGATTGCATATTTATGTTTATATTATATGCTCAACAATATACCCGTATATGCCTTTTGGTTTCTTCTGCTAAACTTTTTTAGTAAAACAAACTTACAAATCAAATGAACAGATCTAGGTAATGCAAGGAGGGAAAGAAGAATCCAAGATTATATGTATTTTGATTGTATCGCATGCAGTTGATGCTGGAACACACTGACATTATAAAACACACAATTTTGGTCTCACAGAAAAGATGTACAAAATGACAAGAATACCATAATTCTGACGATGATAATTTACTGATTCTCCATTTCTTAGCATCTTGGTTGGATACAACTGCATGCATAAATAAATAAATAAATAAATAAATAAATAAATATATATATATATATATATATATATATATATATATATATATATATATATATATATATATATATATATATATATATATATATATATATATATATATATATATATATATATATATATCTGGGAAAGCTTCCAAGAATGTTCTTTCCACTTTCGGTTCTATATATTCCACATTATATATATGTTACATTCATGAGAAAAGATCAACTTTCACTTTCCACTACTTATGCTCATAAGATTCATATATAACAGAATTTCAGTACTTAATTACAACAAATATCCTTAGCTAAATGTGCACAAGAATAAAAAAGAATGTTGGCATAAAAAGCATTCTCAGTCAGTCCTTGAAAACCTAAAAACCAATTGTACATTCACAACATTCTTAATTAACATTTCACCAACAGAATGTGTTTAGAAAATCAAGAATGACATCTTGAAGAAGAGATATGATTATATGTCACAATTACTGTATTATGTAAGTGATTTCCCATCTTTAACTCACCAACATATTATTATATCTTTTTATTGGCTTTTTAATTTGTTCCTACGAGAGTGTTTGGTAAATAATTGTTAGCTGATTGGGTTAATGTGTTTGACTAGTTGATAGCATTAGCTGATTGTAGAAAGATGTTTGGTAAATTGGCTGTTAGTTGATAGCTGATTACATGCAAAATGACTTTAACAAAAAGTTGATCGAAAAAGCTGTACGTTTTGAGCAGCTTTTTGAATTTTAGTGTTTTGGAATAATAAGTTTACAAAAAGCTAATTAATCAAACACTTATATTAACTGTTTAACCAAGTCAAACAGCTAATAGTGGTCAAATAAGCTAAAATTGGCTGATAAGCTAACTATGTTACCAAATATGGACATTTGATATTTAAGTTTCAAAAATATGTCATTTTTAGTCAAAATCATGTACTGAATTTGGTATCAGGGAACTATAAATGATAAATTTCAATAAACTCACAATATATGTCACTAATTACTGTCTTTCAATTATTCGTAATTTGATATTTTACCGACTTATTAAATGAAAAACTAAAAGATAAAAATGAGATATATTATTGAATAGGATTGATCAATGTGGACAAGTTCATGAATAGAAAATAACGATTAAATGACAAACTATGGATAAAACATGTATAATATAATGTTGTGTAAGGAGGATATACCAGAATGACTTAAATTTTTTGGTACAACAGAAAAGAAGAACGAGTTTATAAGAGGGATATATAGTGGAGAGCTGCAACCTGAAATGCATTAACTCTATTTAACTTGCTAATTAATTGAATATATAATAAGTTAGTTTCAACTTATTATATAGAGGCGGTAAATCGGGAAATATGTATCAACTAATTTACAATTCCATAATAAATGTTTGTACGTACACAACCCACCAAAAGGCCAAATTCATGTCTCTACACCGTCTGATTGCTAAGAAAGTAAAGTTTATTATTGGGCGATGGCGTGGAGTGTTGAGTCAAGTATTCTACCATCGAAACGTGACATTAGCAATTAAGCTGCAAGTATAAAGAAATAAAATTGAACTTTTGTTACATACTAGCTATAATGTTTGATAATCGCTTGATTCTAACACTTATGAACTTATTTTGCATTGATATATTTACTAGTTAAAGTGTGCCTAGGGCATTAATTGAATATATATGAGTAAAAGTAAAAAACTTTGCACACTTAATTAGTTGCAAAGTATGAAAAGAGTTAATTCCACCGGAGGTCTCTTGTCTTTGGTGATAATTTCAAATTTAGTCCCAGACAATCGTTTTTGTCATTTTACATCTCAGACTATCATTTTTTGGACACTTTTAGTTTTTCTCATGATTTTTTTCTATTTTTAGTAAGGAAATTTTTGTCTCTTCATATTTTTCTTTTGTTATTTTTTCGGTTTCAATCAGTTTAATTGATTTAGAACTTTACTAAAAATTGATTGAAAAATATGGTCACTAAAAATCAGAGGTTACCTAAAGTTCTAAATCAATTAAACTGGTTGAAACCGAAAAAATAACAAAAAGAAAAATATGAATAGACAAAAATGCTCTTACTAAAAATAGAAAAAAAATCATGAGAAAGAACTAAAAGTGTCCAAAAAACAATAGTCTAGGACTAAATTTGGAATTGACATCAAAGACAAGGAATCTCATTTGAAAATTAATAAAATCATGATGCCTAATTATAAAACATTAATAAATGCTACAAGAAACACCAAATTAAAATTAAACACTCAAATTTCTCCAACCATTTTCACTACATACTACAACAAAGAGAGCTACCACTACAAACTAAAATGCAAAACAAGAAATATAATTAAGACTAGCAAATCTTAGCTTCTAGGGTTAAAACCAGATCAGAATCCTCCCCAAACAGCTCTTAAGTAGTGTATGCCTGCATCCATTTGACACTTTGAAGCTTCACTCATAAAATTCAAAAGCTTCACTACATGAAGAGCAGAAGCAAGAGAGTTTTGGCCACACACTCTTACTTCATTCCAATTGTCAGGATTAAACGCTTATCAGATCACTGGCTAACAACTTTAACCCACGTTTAGATGGCAGGATGCTGAACTGTACTCGGCTTTAACACCAATATCATAAACGATTGCTGGTGGACGAAGAAGTGAAACTAGCAGAAACGTCGCTCCAGGCGGCGGCGGCACCCCCGCCGCCGCCGCCCCACTGGTCATTGCCCGGTTGAAACCCCAACAGCTGCCTTGCCATACTTGATTCTTGATTGTTATGGTCTTCCATTTTCACCGACGCCATCTGAGTAGTCAGCATCGAAGAACTCGTGAACTTGGGCCTGGTTTCGCTGGCCTCGCCGCCGAGAAAACCTGACGGCGCCGCCTCTGGACCTCCCGGGAATTGGTACAGTCCCGGTGATGGGGAGAGATCCAGTCCCCCGAGGATCGGTGTTTGAAGCCGCCACTGCTCAATACCACCTGACAAAAGCGAAGCAAGCCCTCCTCCTCCGCCAGGCCCGCCACCGCCACCGCCTCCCAGACCGAGTAGATTATTATTATTATTACTATTATTATTGTTGTTGTTATTGTTTCCGAATTGGAAAGGAAAATTGTCTCGACCTGCCATGGCGGAAAGGCCGGTGTAATTTATGTTGAGCCCAATATTATCATTCCCGGCGGTATAGTGCTCGGAGAGTTGACCTAACGGCGACATGAACCGCATCGGCGGAATTTGCGGCGAGAGCCCCGCGCCGCCCAACAACCCGGCCGCGGAATTCCCGGATATATTAATACTGCTAGTGGAAACACCACTGCAACTGCTACTACCCGCCTGCCGCTCGCTACTGTTAGAAGGAGACTTGGAAGCGCTACCACCACCGCCACTACTACTACCCCCCTTACCACTCCTCTTGTTCCGCCGGCAACCGCCGCCGACGGGGACGTTCCTCAGCGCGCCGCCGCGCGTCCAGTACCGCCGGCACGTCTTGCAGAAGTGCCGCGGCTGCGTGAGGCTGTAGTTGTTGAAATAGCAAAACTTCGTGTTCGTCGATTCGCAGCGAGGGCATTTCAGAGCAGTCTCCGGTATTGGCATGTTGGCTAGCCTCGCCCTATCCGCCATGGATCCCGGCCGGATTGTCCCCGCGCTTCCATGCGGCGGCGGCGGCGCAGCCGCCGCCGCCGCCACCGCCGCCGGCTGCGCAGAAGGAAGCTGTGTCGTTTGGATGCTCGTTCCAACTTGATGATTTAGCTGCTACACAAACAACAACAAAGATCAAAGGGATTAAAAGAGGAGAAACTTAGATATCAAGTATATTCAAAAATTAAAGAGGGTTTGAGAAAAGAAGAAAAGTGAGAAGAATATTAATCTTTTGAGGATTGAAGCATAAAATGGGGGGGAAAAACCAATACCTGCTGCCAGTTGGCTGGATCAAGATAAGCTGGAATAGAGGAAAAAACCATTGCTGTGTTCTTGATATATGATCTTTACTTCCCTCTTTTTGTAAAGTTAGATGGGTTTGTAGTGAAGTTAGTGGAGAATCACATCAACAATGGAGGAAAGAGAGAGAGAGAGAGAGATAAAGCAAGAGAGAATGAGAATATAAGGAGGCACAATAAAGTGAGGGGCTTTATAGTAGTAGGAGCACTGGAGAGCAGCATAAATTATACCAAGATTTTTTTACTAGTAAAAATTAAAATTCCAACATTCTTTTAACTTATCACTACGTCAAAAATATCCAACAATCTTAGCATCCGTGTAGTGACATGCTATAATACTAATTGTCAGGATCAAACGATTATCACTATGTCAGCAGTGTCATGTTTCCATAGCAGGATATTGGACTTGACCTTTTAAGCTTCTACCCAAGAGAAGGTAAATTTAATGTCTAAAAGTTAGATATATATCCATAAAAACTTTTAGGGTTGAGTTACACTTTGTGTGCATTCTTTTTTCTATTTATAGTAGTTAGATTCATGCAAGTAGGTGAATCAAATTAAACAGACATAGTAGAAGCATATAGTAGGTGGTCTGTTCTCACACTTTCCCTGTATATTATTTTTTTTAATTATGCTTAGTGCTTTTTAGGGGTTGGAGGGGTAATCTTCAGTTTCTTAATGTTTAAGGTTTGGCATTAATCTAATACACAGAGATCACAGATCAGACATACACAGACTAGAATGTGGTGGCTGTCACCTATCAACTTCCATGCATGGAAAAATAAAGTAGGTATGTATTTGTTTATGCGTTTTCTGTGGGAAGGAATTATAATCACAGTGCTTCATTCCCAGCTTTGTGGTAATACAACAGACCACCATTATACGCTCAGGTTTACACACCCATTAAGATAACAAATTAAATGCCTATGCATGCCATCAAGTGGAGTTAGAGTGTGGGAACCTTTAGGGCGAGAAATTTCGCTTGTTATGTGAACAAAGTTTAAACAGGTGTTAAGTTAACAAATTAAATACTCATGTCTGACAATTTGGTTGAGTCGGCAAATTATGCCCTGGACCCGTGTCCATAATTCCCAAAACGACGTCGTTTTTTTAAAAAAAAAAACGCGTCATTTAGTTTAAAAAAAAAAAAAAAAATCGCGCGCGTTTTGCCATTAACGGCGTTATTTTTTTTTGGATTATGAATGTACAGTTATGCTGTTATGAATGTACAGTTATGCCGTTATGAATGTACAGTTATGGAATTATGAAATTATGAACACAGAGCTCTAACATTATGAACTTACAATTATGAACATGTAGTGATAAAATTATGACCATGGAGCTTTAAAATTGTGAATATAGAGCATCGAAGATTATGAATGTACAGTTATAGAGTTATGAATGTACAATTATAGAGTTATGAATCTACAGTTATGGAGTTATGAATCTACAGTTATGAGATTATGAATCTATTCCATGTACAGTTATTGATCGAATTATGAACAAAGAGCTCTGACATTATGAACTTACAATTATGAACATATAGTGATAAAATTGTGAACATAGAGCTCTAAAATTGTGAACATAGAACTTCGAAAATTATGAATGTACAATTATGGAGTTATGAATGTACAGTTATGGAGTTATGAATGTACAATTATGGAGTTATGAATGTACAGTTATAGAGTTATGAACGTACAATTATGGAGTTATGAATGTACAATTATTAACATATAGTAATAAAATTATGAACATATACTTCTATAATGAAGCAGTCTGAAATTTAAAAAAAAAAAAAAGAAAAAAAAAAGAGATAACAGTGTCTAACGGCATTGTTACCCGTGTCCAGCATGCATGCTGGACACGGGTCCAACGCATAACGATTGCGTTGAGTCAGGGCAGGTCCGGATTTTGGGCTGTGCAAGTTGGGCTACCGCACAGGGCCCCAAATTTTAGAAGCTCAATATTTTATTTTTACCTAATTAGTTTAGAAATAAAAATTAAAAGTTTTTAATTAAACTTAAAGGCTTTATAAAGAAATGGTAGGAACATGTATTTATTGTATTTTAACTTTGAGGTCTAAGGTTTAAAACTTGTGCACACTATTATTATTATTCCATAATATCTATATTTTTACATGTGCGTTGCACGGAAAAGATTTGTTATAATCTTTAAATTATAACAACGAATATTATATAGTGCAATTGATGAAATGGGTTGTATCGATTATGTTTTTTTATGTTATCCTTGCTTGAATTCGAGCAAATAATTGCTCAATTATCCGTGCAGTGTGCCTGCGATGCACGAATTTTTTTTTGTTATATATTTAGATAATAAAATTACGGTATTAATTTTATAGATTTTAATTTTGATAGGACCTTATTTATTTACCCAAACAGGACCACAAAAATCTAAAAATCGGCCCAGAGTCATGGTGCGAGACATTTGAAGCGAGAAATTTTGTTTTTCTTATGCGGGCAAAGTTTACAAAGGCATTAAGTTAACAAATTAAATCCCTAGTAATAGCAGCTAGCTAGACTAGTAATGTTGCAAACTTTTCATAAAAGGGAAATATTTTTGTGTCCCAATTTCACATCATGTTGTGCAGGCTAGCTAGTTTGAGGAGAATTATACAATTAATTAATGTTGGGTTGCGGTGCGGTGATTAATATATACTCTTTTTGTCTGTGAAAAAAAAAATGTTAATTGGTTAGTTGTACTTTACTATATTTAGATTAGAAAAATTACCCCTCCTTATAAATACAACTAACTTTTATTGCTTCATTACCTAAATTGGCTTTTAAATAAGAATTAAATGTTTTTTACTTTTAAATTTATATTGCATGTATTATGAGGAATATATATATATAGAGCAAATTCCACTTTTAATCTTTGATTACTGTGGCATTGTCATAATTAGTCCTATTATTTTAATTTTGCCATATTACATTCATGACTTTGAGCAATTTTCACTTTTAATCATCGACTATTGTGGCATTATCATATTTAGTCATATTCTTTTAATTTTGTTATACTACATCCATGACTTTCATTTGATTGCCACCACTAGTCTTCTGTTAAAAATTTCGTTAATTTACCATTAGAATTTACAAATAACAATGGAAAAATCCTTACACATATCGTAACTCATATTTCGAACACATTAGAAATATCATAAATATCAAAGGATGTAATATCGTAACTCATAGAATATGAGTTACAATATGTGTAAAGATTTTTTCCTTTGTTATTTGTCAATTTAAGGATATCATTGTGTTTTATTATCGTTACTCAAATTTCGAACACATTAATTTAATCATGACTTCAAGTTAGGCAACGAACAACTACGCTAAGTCGCAGGGTAAATAGTCTTTTCTTTGTTCAACTATTGGGTCCTAGGGATATGGGCATTACCATAACAGCATAACCCCAACTAGACCTGGCAATTCGTGTATACGGGTCCGTTAACGGGTCGACACGAACACGATAAGGCCAAACACGGACACGACACGTTATGGTTAACGGCTTTAAATTTTTAACACGAACACGATTTATTAATGGGTTGACACGATATACACATTTTGTTAACAGGTTTCAAGTTGTGTCGACATGATATGACACGAAACCCGTTTAAACTCGCTATTTCTATTAATATATTTAAAAAACTAAAATTTAAAGTTAAGTTCTATAAAAAAAATAAATAAATAAAACATACAGTTCAATTCATCTAACAAACTAAAAAACATTCAATTCATAACATTCATAAAATGAAAAAATAACATCCAAAAATCATAATTAAAGAAGTCCATACAAGTTTTTAGAATAAAATTGAACACAATAAAAATTCAAATTTCAAATCGTTGAACATTAATAATTGGTGTAAGATCTTGGTCTAATGTAGTAAATTCATCCTTAGTCATGTTCATAATATCTTTTGTAATCTCATTCATGACAATGGTTCTTACCTAAATGACAATAATGGTTCTTAGCGGGTTATAAACAGGTTTGGTAAACGGGTTAACACGATAATATTAACGGGTTAAACGAGTTCTTAATAGGTTTAACGGGTTGACCCGTTGAGATACGAAACATAATGGGTCCTTAACGGGTCAACCCGTTAACAATCCGGGATACGTTAAGACTAAACACTGACCCGTTATTTTCGTGTCCGGTTTCGTGTCGTGTCCATAATTGTCAGGTCTAACCCCAACAATATCAAACAAACAAAAAACAAAACAAAACAAAAATTAATAATAATAATAATATCAAATAATCAATGTATTTAATATACTCTTCTAAAATTGCCCACCAATAATATGAGAAAATGTATTCAAATAGAGGGAGTGTATTATTATTATTATTTTTTTGGTGGGTAGAGGGAGTGTATTATTAGTCTTGCCTTATGTTAGCTAAGTGTTAATAAACACCCAATTTAAAAGTTATGAGCACACATTTAGTTCTACTGTGTTGACAATGTACCTATCAAAAATTTAGTTCAAACAAAACAAATATTATAATATTAAAATGCATGTGAAGCTTAGCTTGGTGTTTAGTTTCCCTAGTTTAAAGCATTAGATCCAAATTTAATTCTAGTCTCATCAAATGCAGTATAAAAATAAATAAATATTATTATAATGATATATACTTAGTTTAAACTTGTAAATATTTTGTTCAAACTTAATAAGCATTCATAATGGGGTCACCTAAAACAAAGGCTCTTAATATAGTTTTTGGTAGTGTTAGGAATTTTCCTATTTCCTCATATAGTGAGTTTATAGGAATTTTTTGTTATGTATCCACGAGTCTACTATATTTTATTATTAAAAATAGGGAAAATGGCACTTTTTCCCCCTTTGTTATATACTTATAGCACTTTTTCCCCCTAAATTATTTAAGTGGCAGTTCCCCCCCCCGATATATTAAATGGACATATTTACCCTTAAAATAAATATTTCATTTATTTTTCTTCTCCAACAAATTATAACCACGATTTGAAAAAATAAAATACATTAAGTGTTAAATTCAAAATATTTTAAAAATAAAAAAATAAAATTTTAAAAGAAAGTTTGAACCAACCGTTCAAATTGGATCCAAAATCGTGAACCGACGGTTCAAAATAAAACTCAAATCGCGATTATATATACTTATATGTGAGAGTCAATATAAATGCGGGAAAAAACATACACTATTTGCAAATATTATAATTCTAATTTAAGCTATTGCTAGTAGTTGTTCCGATTTGAACCTCCGGTTCACGGTTCAGGATCCATTTTTTTCCAGTTCACGATTTTAATAAACGGAAACCCAAATATTGGGTTATCTTATGAATCATAATCGAAATTTTTTAATTTGATTGCTATAGTGTTTGGTTCAGTTCGAACCGAACCGTGGTCATCCCTACGTATAAGTAATAATTTGGTGAAGAAGAGAAAAAAAATAAAATATTTGTTTTAAGGGTAGAAATGTCCATTTAATATTATCAGGGGGAAAAACCACCACTTTTATAATAATTGAGGGGGCAAATGTGAATGCATGAATAACTCAGGAGGAAAAAGTGCTATAAGCATATAACACAGGGGGAAAAAGTGCCATTTTCCCTTAAAAATATAATGATCATTTTTGTTTCTTTTTACCCTTCCGCCATTCCGGGCCATGATATGTCCCTTGGTGCAATAATTTAAAAAATAAATAAATTTCATGTGTCTTTTAATTATGACCTATTTTATTTATGATTATTGACTCTAAAATTGATTATGGCCCTGTTTGGTAAAAAAATTGGCCTATATGTCAATTTTGGTTTATTTGACCACTATTAATTGCTTGATTTAGTTAACATATCAATATAAATGTTTGGTTAATTAGCTTTTTGCAACTTCTAAAGGCTAAAATTTAAAAGGCTACTCCAAACAACTTTTTCAATTAGCTTTTTGAGAAAAGAAATTACATCAAACAACTATCAGCTAACAGCTAATTTACCAAACACTTTTATACAATCAGCTAATGTTATCAACTATTTATATACTCTAATTAACAGAATCAGTTAAGAGCTGACAGCTATCAGCTAACAGCCATTTTACCAAACAGGGCCTATATATAGTATTTTTTTTTGGAAAAAGTGTCAAATTGGCTCCCTAAGTCGACCGGATAGTGCAATTGGGTCCTCTAACTAAAAAAAAAGCTCCATTTAGATCCCCTAAATCTGTAAAATTGTTCAATTAAGTCCAAAGTGACTTATTTAACAGGTTAAGTCTTCACATTATTGACACGTGTCATTTTAAAATATTTTTTTTGTTTTTTTTTTTTATAAATTTTATTTATATATTTATTAAAATACATATTATATTAAAAATATATATATTAACCTTCTCAAATGCTTTTTAGCAAATATGTATTTTAATAAATACAGCTAATTTTAGATAGTCAGCCACCGGTGGCTGATTTTTTTATTTTTTTTTTTTAATATAATATGTATTTTAATAAATATATAAATAAAATTTATAAAAAAAAAAAAACCAAAAAAAAAAAATTTAAAATGACACGTGTCAACAATGTGAAGACTTAACCTGTTAAACAAGTCACTTTGGACTTAATTGAACAATTTTACAGGTTTAGGGGATCTAAATGGAGCTTTTTTTAGTTAGGGGACCCAATTGCACTATCCGGTCGACTTAGGGGGCCAATTTGACACTTTTCTCTATTTTTTTTAGTACTAACTCCGTTACAATGTAGTATCTGTTTATATATACTTTCTCAATCTATTAAAGCACAAAGAGTCAATACCGCCTTCACTGAGGCTCGAACCCAATGATTATACATAGTACTTAACAGGGGCGGACCCATCATGGGGGCAATGGGGGCAGCTGCCCCCTCTCCCCCCACCTCCACGCCCACCCCATGTATAACCCTTGTATGTATATATGTATATATAGTACAAGTTTTAATATAAATACAATAAAATAGATAAAAGTTAAAAAAAGATGATTAGATCAGGTGGCAAGGCATGTGTCTTATCTTTGTATAAGAGGCTAAGGTTCAATGCCTCAGCGTCAACATCCAACAATATCTATGGCTATATTTTTTATTAGATTATTTAATTTCTGAGAAGTGTAAATTTTAATATTATGTTAATGTATCCCGCTATCAATATGCCATGAGATCTAAGGATAGAACCATACTTTTCTTGTTGTAGTCCATAAAAGACTATTCTATTGTTGATCATACAATTATAATGTCATTTTTACTTTTCATACTCAACTATTAATTTAATAACATTTAGTACTTAAACTTTTTAAAACTCAACCAAACTTACTCTTACCACTATACTCATCATGTGAACAAAATAAAGTAGGATTAGTTCAAATGAGTGATATATGTCAAGATATGTATAATGCACGATTTGATTTTGTGTGAAAAAAATATTACATTATTGTTTTATTTTGATTCCAACTTTGATTAAACAACCTGACTATTTTTATTTAAATCTATTCCGATTACTAAATATTTAATTTTAAACCCGATTAAAATTTTCTTCTTTTTTTTTTAACCAAAGGCAATTTTTTAGCATAGGCTAATTAAAGAATTGCAAGGAATTATTGAAGGAAAAGGTGAGTCTTGGGCACTTTGTACAAACATTCTCAAGTGTTTGGACCAAACAAAATCCTTTTCTCACCCCCCCCCCCCCCCCACCCCCCAAAGGGGCCATATATTATATATACATTATGATGGTGCAGTAGTACTAGTATGTGGAAACAGTGAGTATAAAGAGTGAGAAGGGGGTAGCCCCACTCTTATCCTAAAGTAGTGAAAAGAATGCAAAATAGGGTTTCTTGGTTCATCAAGTTTAAAAGACTATGGAGCTAAGCAACTTAGCATTGTGGTAAAGTGAGTGCCATAAAGGTGCATGCAATGCAAGCAGCCTAAGTATAAAATTCAAATTCCGGCCTGTCCCATCAACTTATTGTAATATAATGCATGCCTCTTAATTAAGTACCTTTTTAATTTTTATTTATGACTAAATAAGCATATATAGTGTCAACAATTTGCACTTCAATTTGTTATACAATATGCATTCCAGGTCAAGTTTGATAAACTTGCCATGGTGGCATAACATAACGGTACGTGCAGATTTAATCAAGAAATTAGTGATTAATAAATGTACGACAGGTCTATTAGATATTTTAATTAAAAGATTACTAACATATATTTATTTGTATTTTTATCGGATCGAGTTTGATAAATCTGTCATGGTATAACATAACGACAATGTTGCAGAAGGCGCTAGGCGGCGCTAGTCGAGCGTCCGGAGGGCGCCTAGCACCTAGCAGGCGACCTAGCTAGTAATCCGAGTACGTATATCATCTCCACTTTTCTCACTCAGAGCTAGGAGTTGTTAGATGGTTAGTTGAGTATTTGACTGGAGAAATATTGAAGAGGAGTAGCCGAGTAGGCAAAAAAAAAAAAAAAAAAAAACCATTTGGCCGAGTTGAGCACCAACTCGGCGTCGACCGATTAGTCGATCAATCGACTAAAAGCAGCCTAGGGCTGAAATCGCCTCGGCATAGGAGCACCTAGTGCCTAGTCGGCCCGCCTAGGCCGATTTTTACAACACTGCATAACGATGTGGATTTAATAAAAAGAATTTGTGATTAATAAAAGAAACATGTTTGTCAAGGATCTTGTGGTCTAGTGGCACCAAATTTTTTTTCCATATGGGAGGTTGTGGGTTCGAGCCTCCTCCTTTTGCAGTTTTTGGGCAAGAATTTTAGGGGTTTATGGTTTAGGATTAATCTGACGTAATGTGACTAAATGTCAATAATTCGATCCTTGGCTTTAGGTGTTCGACAATGAAAACCTTTGGTATATCCAAAAAAGTAAAGAATGTGACTACAACATGGGCCAGATCAGACAAATCTTCAAAGATCAAATCTGTGTAATATGACAGCAGATACAAGGAACTAGATATCAATGAAGACTACCCCTGTCTAAAATTGCAGATCATCATCTTTTGGATGGTAAGAACAAAGAGCAGAGTTTCAAAACACGTGTAGAATTATAAACAGATGTTACAGCATAATGACTGTACATAGACACTAACACTAGGAAGAAAGTTAGCAAAGAATAAGAGAATCTGAAGAGATTCTCTGCACATAATCTTAAGTTATTTACACTGAGTAAACCTGAAATATTCAGAATCAAGGAGCTTCAGTACAAGTTTTTCCAACCTTCTTGACCCTGCAGAAGGCTTAACTGCATCACAACTGCCACGTGCTAGACAAGGATCTTTACCTAAACCAGGACTCCCAACACACCAACCCCCGGGGGTAAACAGCCCGTCAGATCTTCTCAAGAGTTCCCTATCGATCTCGTTAAGAACAGGATCATCTGCGGCAAAAGTGCGAGCGAATGGGGCCCCACTCTGGACCATGTCCTCGAAGTGCTCCATTGTCAAGTTCATCGGGTTCTGCTTCGGGGGACTGTCCCATTTTAGGTAGTGTAAGTCATGGTTCACCGTCGTGTTCTGATAGTCCTTGTGATTGCAGACAACCGTGTGGAAGTAGCCCTCGGGGGAGGATATGAAATTGGTATAGTACATAAGAAGAGTGCGCGGGAGATTGTCCCATCCCCAAATGCAGAATTCCAAGAACGATCTCGTGAGAACCACCCATTCAGATCCTGCAAATTTTTCAGATTTTTCTAAAAATGGTTATCAATCACAGTACTAAAAAATATCATTTGTGTTGGGCGTCGGCTGAGTTGGCCGAGTTCAGCCCCTGCTCGATTCGAGACGTGGTTTACCTTGGAAAGATGTGGTTAAATGGTTAATGTCCACTACTTATCACCAATTGGTTTTAAGTATGATATGGCAACCAGATAGCCAAATAATTCTGTGATTAAGCGTGCTTGACTTGGGAAGTAAGCATAGTGCAGCGCTCAGATCTAACAATTTGGAAATCTATTGAGTTCAAGAAAAGGTGAAGGGGCAGTACCCATGAACAGCTTGAAAGCGGCCGGCATTGACCTTTTCTCCTTTGCCCAAAATACCCCAGATTTCTTCGAATGATATAAGCCCGGATCTACGATTATAGGCCTAGCCCTCTGAAACCTGTGGGTATAAAAAGCATTTTAGAATCACTACGTATCAGTGGTCGGTCATAACTAACTACCCGTCTCACAAAGTTGAAACATGGATGTATAGAGTAGAATGCTCACTCTTTCCAGCCAAGATTTGTTGAGTGCTCGAGAAAATTCAGATCCCTGGGCAAAAACGAAAAAACATGCAGGATATCTGTAACAAAGATGGCAAGATTTTTCTTCATTAATAACGAGAAGATGGCAGACAAATGAAGATCCATTGGACTACAATCTTAACAAATACAGAGTATAAAGCTATTAGAGGAATCGCGATTAGGCCAATGCACGTGATTAAACATAATATTTTCAATTTGCATCACTGAATAACATATCCACTTGTACAAACAACTCATGAAAACGCAATGAAACAAAATTTTCAAGAACTTTTTGTCTTTCAAGCAACGATTAAATAACAACACATCTATAAATAACAAAATACAAGTAAATGAAGTATTCAAAATAATTAAATAGCCATCACCATACCCGTAACTTGACCGTAAATGAATTCAATCAATTCTAGCCACTATATGTTTCCCTAAGTTCTACTTGAAGGAGATCTGCAATCGAATTCCTTCAATACATTAATGCAAAAAAAAGGCACTATAAGATTAACATTCCACTTGGTCATCAGCACTATAAGTTCAAATAGATTGCAATTCTAACCTCTAATTCTTTTTGCATGTTTGGAATCTTAATGATTCCTTAGGAATCCCTTTTCCATTTTATTCCATTACACTTGTCCATAAAATTACCCGCTTAATCTGACAATTGGTATCAGAGCATATCACTTGTAAATTCCCATTCATATCATCAAGAAGCATTGAGAGCAAAAATTAGAAATGAAAAATAAAGAAATAGATACAGAGGAGCAAGATATACTAACCATCTTGAGGCATGAGAGGGTAATCTGAAGCACTGAGATTGATAAACCAATCCCAATTCTTAGCCTTCTTCAAGAGAATGGCGACGGCGTGGAGCGTGGAAGCCATGATAGTAGGGCCTCTATAGGTGACTAAATCCGCCTTTCCAATCACCATAACATTCTTAAACTCCCTAATCACAACCTCGGATTTCGCAAACTTAGCCAGCTCCATCCTCTCCGCATCCTCGGCCTCCAAATCAAGATGCAGCAAATAGTAATTCCGGGGATGGTACAACGCCCTAAGCAGCCGCTTCATCCGCCGGCCGTCGCCTTTGGAGCCCGAGATCAAAAACGCCAGTCGGGGCAGCTCCGGCAGGGACCCGGATCCGAGTAACCCGGAATCATCGGTTCTTGACTCTGAATGTGGGAAGGGAGAAGATTTGTGGGCTTTGGGGTGATTAAAAATCAGGATGGAAACCAGTATGAGAATGAACACTGAAAGGCAAAGTAAGGGTACTGACCATCTCTTATTGCCGGCGAATCTTATCTTAGCTTTTCTCATTACAGATTGCGATGGTCTCAAGATCTGGGTTTTATGTATAGATCAGAATGAAGTTTTTGAAGGTGGGATTTGGCCGGAGGGGGGGAAATAGTGGTCGGAGAATGAATTTGACTTGTTGGCTGTCGGTAATATTCGGTTGGCCGGCTGTTTTCTGGAGCACAGGTGCGGGCGTTGCGTCACTTTCACTACATTCAAATTAGAAATCTTTTACTTCATCCGCTTTGGTTGTACGATCTTCCCATTTAATGAATCCGCCATCTGGAACAAATTTCTACATAACACTCCAGATTGAATTACAAACATGTTTTTCTTAACTTCAACCATTATCCAGAAAAAAGCCTTTGATTTGAAAATCTGTCAACACTGCAATTGAAAGGGTTTTGAAGTTGGATAGTAAATTCATTTTATTGTTTGACAATTAGCTATTAGTTGTAGCTGTTAGTGGATTGTATTTACGGCTTTGAATTTGATAATTAACTATTAGTTGTAGCTGATAGTGAATTGTATTCACTGATTTGATTAGTGATAATATTAGCAGTTTGTGAAAAAATGTTCTATTAAATTAGTTATTAACTTTACATATAAAATGATTTTTGTAAATAATTTATCTTGTGTTAGCCTAATGGCATTCCATTACCATTTCAGATGACATATGTTGGAACTTAGGTGTTTAAATTTTTTGGATTGAAAATGTTTGATAGAGTACTATACTACTTTGTAAAAAATTATGAATATTTTTTAAAAAAATTGTGCTAATAATTTATTAATTATTAATAATTAATAATTTAGATATAAATAAAAAATATTTTTAAAATAATTATTGTTTATAATAATAATAATAACAATTAATAAAGAACATTTAATAAAAATATCTTTTTACTATTTTCATAAATAAACACATTATAATTTTAAATAAAATAAAATATGTGTGTTAAAATAATTTTTTTTTTTAAAAAAAAACTTTTAAAAAATGAGGGGGAGAGATCGTACAGTTTGAGAAAAATGTGAGGGTATCATAGAAACTTAATAAATTTTTCTCGAAAAATCTCAATGTAACTTTTCGAATTTAAAAATCGATCTCAAAAAGCATTTTATCAAATACTTACAGGGTGTTTGGTTGGTAGGAGGGAATTAGGAGAAAAAGTAATTGTAATTTCGTGGAAAAAAGAATAAGATAATAATAAAGTAAAAATTTAAATTACATTATTTGGTATGAAGAAATAGAATTATTAAGAATTGAAAGAAAATAAGTGATATAAAAATTAAAATGCCCTTCTGTAGTAATAATAATAATAATAATAATAATAATAATAATAATAATAATAATAATAATAATAATAATAATGAATTGTAATTCAATAAGAACAAATAAAGTGGGAACTCAAATTTCATTGTTTGGTAAGCAGAAATAAAATTACCGAAAATTGAATGAAAAGAAGTTAACAAAGACTAAAATGCTATTGTACTACTACTACAACAACTAGTAGTCTGAATTCCATAGAGTCTAGTAATTTGGTTTTTATTTTATGTACGGTTAGCAGGGGCGGACCAAGCATGGGGGTAGTAGGGACAGCTGCCCCCACTCACCCTACCCCCTAGCCCATGTGTGTGTGTGTGTGTGTATATGTATATATATATATATATATATATATATATATATATATATATATATATATATATATATATATATATATATATATATATATATATATATTACACGTTTTAGATATATCTATATGAAAAAGAATGATTTTATATAATAGATTGGCTAGTCCAGTTGGTAGATGCGTGTGTAATTTCTTGAAAGGTCAGGGTTGAAAGCTTCTTTATGGTTTTTTGACTTTCAACACGTTTTTAGATATATCTATATGAAAACGAATGATGTTACATAATAGATTAGCTAGTCTAGTTGGTAGATACGTGTGTAATTCCCTGAAAGGTCGGGGTTGAAAGCTTCTTTATGGCTTTTTGACTTTCAACAGCTCCTTTATGGAATATATATATATATATATATATATATATATATATATATATATATATATATATATATATATAACTCTTTTTTATATTAATAATGACATGTGTAATTTATAATGTATTTTTTATTTGAATTATTTTATTAAATTAATTACATTTCATATTTTGTTATGAATATTTTTATAAAGTTTTGATGTATTTTATTTTTCACATATATCCGCCAATATTTATGACTATATCTTTTAAGTGTTTTATTATTTTTTAAAGGGAAAAGGGTCAAATAGGCCCTTGAACTTTAGCTTAAAAGTTAATTAGGCCCCTAAACTTTTTAAAGGTGCAATTACACCCATCAATAATTCATTTAGGTGCAATGAAGCCCAAAAACAAGTTAATGACCTGCTATCACAGGTCATTAGGGTTCAGGCCACCTTCCGGCGAATTTTTCGACAAAAAAAATGTGACCAGCAACCGACCCAAATTTGTCGAAAATTTCGCCGGTCACTTCTTTTGTCGAAAATTTCGCCGGTCACTTTTTTTTTTCGCCGGAAGGTGGCCTGAAGCCTAATGACCTGTGATAGCAGGTCATTAATTTGTTTTTGGGCTTCATTGCACTTAAATGAATTGTTGATGGGTGTAATTGCACCTTTAAAAAGTTTAGGGGCCTAATTGACTTTTAAGCTAAAGTTCGATGGCCTATTTGACTGATGCGTAGTATATTTGCAAACAAATAATTCTCGGAGTACGAGTTATCGATCCAAAGGGAAGTGGTTGTATCAAGCACTAGTTATTAACTTATTCATTAGAGCTAATCCTAACAATTACTTAGATGATTGATTGGCATAAAATAAATAAAATAAAACAGAGGTTCAGGATTTTGAAAACAATTAGAGAGAAGTTGAGATTCATGGGATTCAAGTATTTAATCACCTAGTGCCAATTATCGTTTGCAATATTTAGTTTGGAATCAAGATTTGTGTGGGAATGCAAAGTGGAATCGAATTACTCCCGTAATCTCTATTCCTAGTGAATTTCCACTCCCGTGGCTTAAACACCCAATAAGATCGAAGATCAGCATTCAATTATTCCTAATTACTACCATCTCCCGATTGGCAACAATCTAGAATAAACTTCCCCTAATAAGTTCCCCTTTCCCAAGGTCCAACCATTAGGTGCAATTGTGTGTACCCTAATATATGCCCCAACTCCCATTGGTGACACAAACATGGCTATGAAGCTAGTAACTATGGCCATTAATTACAAGCATCAAACAATATTATCACGATTGCAACACAAGTATTAAACCCAAATAATAATATATTAAAGAAACTGAGAGCTCAGGCACATAGGTTCATAAACACTTTTACCCAAGAATCTCTAAAGAATTTAGCCAAGCATGACTAAATTATACATAGCAAATATAAATAAAGAATTACAAATCATCAAAAGAGTACAAGAATTAACCAGACGATTTTCCCAAATCTCCCTAGTCTTCTTCTTGCTTTCCAAGACAACTTGTGGCTCTTGATTTCTCTCCTTCTTGTCTCCAAGAATCTCTGAATTCTCTCCGTCTCAATTAGGGTTGAGGAAGGAGGGATTTTATAGTGGGTACAAAGTTGAGATGAAATAGGAATCTTGTACAAAATTGAACTCAAATTATAATTCCTATATTTAAATAAAGAAATTGTCGTAATTAATTTAAAATTGAAGTTGGAATTGGAATTTGGAATTGAAGTGTGAATTGGGGTTTGAGAATTGAATTGAATATGGTAATCAGCGCCCTTCACTGTTGTTGATTCCAGCGCCCTCGCTCGACGCGTCGAGACCAGCAGGTCCCGATCACCAAACTTTCTGGAAATTTTCGACACGTCGAGTACTCTGGGCCCCGAACTTGTCCAAAATTGCTCCAAACTCATCCTTGAACTTCCCTTGCTCATAGAATTGACCTACAATGGTTCAAAAACACTAACAAACACCGTAAAACATTCAAAACAAGTGTGAACCATAATTAAATGATAATAGCAAGAAAAATATGTATTAAATAAGCAAAATTAAAGAACTTAAATACTGAGATGATTCAAAATAACTATAAAAACAAGCAAAGATGTGATAACATCATTGACCCTTTTCCCTTTTTAAAATTATTTCTTTTACTTTAATGTTTTCGTTACCACTGAACAGAATTTCTTGATCCACCACTGACGGTTAGTAAACTAGTTCATGCTCTTGCGAGTGCGATTTTATCTGATCATTGTCTTTAAGAAACTTCCCCTCCAAGTTATATTTCTCACTTAATATAATTGAGTTCGGTGATGGCTTTCAAAAAGAAAAAAAAAAAAATTGTCATTCCTACAAACAAACATGCAAATTGAATTTAGATACAATTCTCATTCTTGAAAGATGTGACCAATCGTTATGCTATGGATTCGTGTCCAGCATACATTGTGGACACAGTAACGGTGTCGTTAGTGGCACGGTTATCTTCCATCATTTTTTATTTTTTATTTTTTATTTCAGACCGCTTCGTTATAGGAACATATGTTCATAATTTTATCACTATATGTTCATAATTGTAAGTTCATAATGTCAGAGCTCTGTGTTCATAATTTCATAACTGTACATTTATACTTCCATAATTGTACATTCATAATTCTGTAACTGCACATTTATAATTCAATAACTGTAAATTCATAATTTTCGAAGCTCTATGTTCACAATTTTAGAGCTCTATGTTCATAATTTTATCACTATATGTTCATAATGTCATAGCTCTGTGTTCATAATTTTATAACTGTACATTCATAATTTTTGAAACTCTATGTTCATAGTTTTAGAGCTATATGTTCATAATTTTATCACTATATGTTCATAATTGTAAGTTCATAATGTCAGAGCTCTGTGTTCATAATTTCATAACTGTACATTCATAATTCTATAACTGTACATTCATAATTTCACAAACAAATAACGTTGTTAACGCCATTAACGACGAGACAAAATTAATTTTTTAAAAAAATTGAAATGTCGTCGTTTTTTTATGAAAACGACGTCGTTTTGGACTAGTGTCCACAATACATTGTCAACACGAGTCCACAACATAATTTGCCAGATGTGACTCAACCATCCTAAATTTATATAAAATATAAGTAGTGGTGGGTAGTGATGATGATGGATTGATGGGCAAATAAAGATGTTGGATGACTATTGGGCAAATTATTGTGTGGACCATGGTCCACACAATGTTATGTGGACCATAACAAAAAGTACATTTTTAATATACTAAATGTACATTATTTTTGTACTGAATGTACATTATACCAATATAATGTACACTCAGAACAAAAATAATGTACATCCCCTGAATATAATGTATATTATTTTTGTACTGAATATACATTATTTTTGTACT